AGGGAAAAAGATACAAAAAAGAGGTGGAAGAAGGTTTTATGTTGAGGAAGATGGTTCCCCTCTCCTAGCTCCTTCTCCTTCCTTCAGCTTCTCTCTCCTCTCTCTCTAAAACTAGAACTTATATCTCAAAATCAGCTCTACTAAATGGGGGGAAGGGCTCTTTTATTTATAGGCATAAGAGGATGGAGAAGTTCGCCGTGAGGAAGGGCAGATATTGTGGGCGTGATCTTCTTCATGGAGGCCGCGATCTTGCGGCGTAGCCATTTCGGCCTTCGGGGACGAGGAGTTCGCGGGCTAACTTCGCGGTCGCGATCTATGAGTTAGGGCCACAAATTTCCTTGCGGTTAATTTGCACTATGGTCGTGTTCTGACTAGGGAAACTCTCTTCTTCTCCTCGACTACTTCTTCACAAAGTTCGCGCCCTAAGCCTTCAAATTCGCAGTCGTGATCTTGGGCTTCTATATGGCTATCTTCACCTTGACTTCGCAGGGTATGATCTCGGCCGTGATCTCCATCTCCAGTCCGTGATCTTCAGTCTTCTGTCCCTTTAGCTACACTTGTGTCATTTTTTTGTACCTAATTCGCATGTATTTTGTCAAATAGGAACAAAATAGGGATGTAATTGACGTTGTTTAAACAATTTTGCACATGAATCGACACGAAACAAACCTTAATATGAAGGGTAAATAACACTAATTTAGGTTTTATTAGAGACATGATTAATTGTTTGAGAATAAGTTATATATTTTAATAATGGGAAGAAGGGGGGAAAATTAAGATGAGAAGGAGAGAAAAAATTGGTAGTGGTAAAGTAGACGTGAAGAACTAGAGCGTTTGTAGAGAGAATTGAAAAAAAAAAGCTATTGGATGTTGAAAGAGTCTTTATGCACAATTTAGGGGTGAAACATAATTTTTATTTTTTTTAATACCAACAGAAAAAGGACTAGCCATGGGAGTTGTCACGCGTGGCAGGGATTGGTCATGACGTGTGGTATGCCGCTCTCCTGCTCCTGCACGTGTGTCTTTCTATTGCACGGGATGTGAAATTCATAGGATTTTTTTGGACACTTGTGGGTCAAATTTTTGTCTAAAAATCCACCTTTTAGGGTTTTTAGACTTGTCGTTGGAGAATGAATTTTGGGTTTTTTGGAGATGGTCTGAGTGATGGGTGCATGCCTTGGCGTAGTGCGTGAGAAGGTCATATTGAGAATAGGTCCTAATATCTAACTAAAATACTCACGCAATGAACCCATAATTCAGGGGCAGATCCAGTAAGGAGGTATGTCGATCCATCTCTGCCCGAAATTTTTTTGTGAGGAACTCAAGTTTCGTTGGTATAAAATAAAGAACACGACACCGGTCTCCAACACAGTTTTGATAATGATAACTTAAAAGCGACACACATTTATCATACCTCAAGAAATTTATTGTTATAAAGTTACTAAAATATGTAAGTATACATTATTCATTTTAATGTTTAACTAACTCTAAAAAATTAAATAATATTCTTTTGTTTTATTTGAAATTCCACAAGTCACCCTACACACTCTTGCTAAAATGTTGTGTAACCCTTACCCCTTTCAATTCCATTTGTCTTTTTTATCTAGACAAAAATAAAAATCCTCTCCACTAACTAAGACTAAAAACTCAGCTAATTCGTTTACTTGTTGGATTTGAATGAGAATTTTGACTATAAATTGGGATTTGAAAACATTTGGATTTATTAGGAATTTGGTACATAATGAATTTGAAAGAGTCCATTTGATCTGATCATGAATTTTTGGGTTATGGATTTATAGCTATGAAATGTATATTATCGTACTATCCTTCTTCTTTTTGGATTTAGAGATAACTTTTGCTTCGAGCTTTATATTTTGTGGTCATATTATTAATTTGTGTTTCGATATTGAAATTTATGATAATTTCATAAAGCCACTAGCTACGAGATATTTTATATTGCGTAGGTAATCAAAATATATATGTTATAATTTGACAATTTATAGAAAATCCTAATTTTTAAGTTGTAAAAGGAAATGAAATTCTTAATTTAAATTCATTTTTATTTATTATCTTATTTTTATAGGTTGACACCTCTGTTGAAATATTTTGTGTCACGAGCCACTACCATACCAATGGGAGTAGAGTGGGGTGATTTACATAGACATTATAAAAATAAAAAGAATATGACAATATATATTAATCAGAATACTGTGATTAATATATATATATATATATAATCAATTCAATCCAATACAAATACACAACAATACCATTATAGTGTCAAACTTTATTAAAGAAGCATATAACGATAAGAGACCCAACAACAATTACTCAATTCGTAAACTCTTCCTAATTACATGGAAGTTTAATGTTACTGATTGTTGTCGAGGAACTGTGCGGGCGTATGACTCTCTCTTTAAATTATCCTCATTTGAGTCTAAGTAACTATTACAACTAGGATAGGCAAGGGTCTTGTAAGCCCTTCAAACACCCCATTATTTTTTGCCTATGTTTGCGGCTCATGGAGGTCTATTATTTTTGGTCCTAAGTATGAGGATGGTTGTAATCGATTAGTCGGTTAACCATTTAACCGTCAGTTATTAGCCGTTTAATTATCGGTTTGTGATTACCTGTTTTCGGATACCAAGAATTGACCGTTTACTATTTAATCGGTTATCGACGTAACCATTAAGCACCGATTCCAGTTTCGGGTATCGATTACAGCGTTAACGAGATAACTAGTTATCAATCATAATATTTTTTTACTGTTATCAATCCTAATATTTAAGTAAATCACTTGGGTAGAGTGATCATGTGTAGTGCTGAAAATTGCCCCGACCCATCCTTGTCTGTCTCTGACCGTGTCTGACCCGTCCCTAAAGGGTGAAGATGTATAACTGACCCGTCTTGTCCCGTTCCTGTCTCTTTCTTGACCCTATATGACCCTCAAGGGATGGGACAGGTCGGGTCAGGTCAGTGGGACAACCCTAAACTACACACTACTTTGTTTACAAATTACGTTTTGGTACCCAAAATTATATTTTCTTACAGTTACAAATAAGTCCTAAAATTATATTTTGGTACCCTAAATTTTTTATTTTTGTAGTTTAGTACCTAAACTTTTACAAAGAGCTCCAATGTGGTATGAGATATTTGTTGTTGCTAAGGGTCATAGGATCAAAAAGTGACCCGTCCCAACCCTTATAGAGTAAAAATCTGCCTCGTTCCTAAACTGATCCTTTAGACAAACTGACTCGTCCCGATCCTTACGAACTGAACGGGTCAGTGAGTTTTTACGGTCACACTTACACCCGAGAGTAAGATACTCAGAACTGAGAGTGACTGAGACCCCTTCTAAAGACATGAAATGAATAAACAAACATGCAAGTGAGAAACAAACTAACTTGGTCTGGTATGTTTGCTAGCTAGTCCAACGAATCCAACTAATTTACTTGGTCGAGTTTATTGGTGCGTTGAGGTCGAAGAAACGTCTTCATTGGTGGGTCGATTTATAAAATATATCAAAACAGATTAGAGTGCAAGCACAAAAGAAAAGAGTGGTGGAAATGGATGAAAATAGGAAACAACCCACGTAGGGGCGGAGGGAGAGAGTTAGAGGTGGGTCCCGGTACCCACCCTGGCTCGGGTTTGAAAATGGTCAATTAGGTACAATAGTTAATCGGGTATGAAAAATAATACATATTCAAATGAAATTGCTAGACTTTTGAAATATTTGATGTATGATTTATAACGAGCGTTGAAATATTCAATGTATTTATAACGAGCTATGTACAAATGATAATGATCTATATGATTCGATCAAAATTGAAGATGTATGTATTCAATATTTACAACAAATTTCCACCAAATCATAATTCATTTGTAAAAATAATTTTATTTCAATCAGGGATAGGGAGATTGTAACAGGTGTTTCCTAAGGACGAAAATGAGTAAATTAGTATAATAGTTAATTGAGAATGAAATTTAGGGCACTTCTAATTTAGAATGGTTGACCGAGATATCATTTGTTCGAATCTTTGTAACCCCATTTGTTAAACACATGATATTCGGATTTACGTAAACTTTAAGCACGCATAAGTTGGTTGTAGTAAGCATGAAAGTGTTACTAAATACTAAATAGTATTAGATTCATTATTTAATCTTTCTTAACAACTCGAGTTAATGATACTAAACGGTCTTGACGAAGAACACGATTCTAAAGCAAATGTCTAACTAAATCATAAATAATTGTTTGATGCATATATGGTGATATTCTTGATAGTTTTGACATATAATTTAATTTACCAAGTTTTTGCAAATACAAAATTATATCATGAACGATTTAGAAAGCTAACAAAATTATCTTATCGTATGTATTTTTTCTAAATGGACCCACCCTCGACAAAATCCTGGCTACGCCCCTGTAATACCCACGTGTAAGCAGCAGCATCCCTGTTGAAGGAGGAACCGCCACCTGTTGGGTATGTGTCATTAGACATTGAGGGCAGAGTTGACATTTCCGCCAACTTCCAAACCTACAGTCGCACCAGAAAAAAGAATTTGCACTTTTTAAATACTACTCCACAACATCAGCGTCAGCATAAGCAGCCCAGCCCAAGTTAAGTAGGCGCAAAACGAAAGCCAAAAATCCCAAACCCCAACCCTAAAGCAAAACCAACCAACCACCCCACAATTCAGATCTTGCTTGCTGCATGAATATCTGTTGTAATTAGCGGGCCAGTGTGCAACCCATTGTGTAACAACCCAAGGCCAGCTGGATGCCAACTGTAACCAATATAAATAAGAGAGCTTATCTGTCATTTGCTATCTTTTGACAAATCTGTTATTAGAATAGTTACTTTACCAATTAGATAGCTTTCAATAAAAGAACTCCGCAATTCCTTCTCCATTTTCTCTGTGCTTTCCATCTTCTTGTCCTATTTTGCCAGATTCCACTAGAACGATCCTTACAAAGTGGTATCAGAGCCCTCAATCTGGCAATGGCTTCTCACACCTCTCGCATTGTTGATTTGGAGACGCAGATGGCGTCTGTGCAGCTCCAATTAGAGTCTCAGCATCAGGACTTGAAGACCGCTATTGCGGAGCTTGCTGCTTCCACGAAGGACAATCTGGACGCATTGGCGGCGTCGTTTGCTCGCAGTCGGGAGAAGTCTCTGGTTCATACGGCGCCGCAGTCGCAGGCTCCCTTCGCCAACGCACAACACTTTCGTTCTCCGCAGAAGCGTTCGTCGCTATTGGATCACTATCCTCGCTTGGAGTTTTCCTACTTCTCGGGTTCAGATCCTCTTGTTTGGGTGATCAAGTGTAATAAGCTCTTTCTTCTCTACTCGATTCCTGAAGAGCAGAAAGTCGATTTGGTTTCATACTATTTGGAGGGCCGAGCCTATACATGGTTTGAAGGATGGTCTTTCCGTCGTTTTCCGTTGATTTGGGGCCATTTCGTCGAAGAGCTTCTTCATCGGGTTGGGAATCGTGAGCAGTTGAATGTAGTGGCGGCTTTCAACAAGCTCTGGCAAACATCCACTGTTGCTCGTTACCAGGAGGAGTTTGAAGATCTTGGTTCACGCCTTCTCCGATTGAATCCCGAACTCAATGAGCACTACTTCATCTTGAGCTTTCTAGGAGGGCTCGACGAAGAAATTCAGCCTCGCGTTCAGTTACTTAATCAACCGACCTTGGCGTGTGCGTTTTATCAAGCGCGATTGGAGGAGTCCGCCATTGACGCCCGAAGGAAGAAGACGCGTTCTGCTCCTCTCAATCGGTGGTCCATTCCTTCTTCCTCGACGTCGCACTCTTCTTTTCAGCGGGAGCGGTCCCTTCCTTCTCCGTCCACTGTCGATCGGAATTCCACCCCTCGCGGACACGGCCTCTGTTATAAATGTGGCGACAAGTACTTCCATGGCCACGTTTGCGCCAGGAAGAAATAGCTACAGGTGATGCAAGCTGAGGATAAGTTCAATGAGGTGGACGATGAGTTTCAGGACGCCGAATTGGAGGTCTCCTTACAATCTATGGAGTCGGGCTTTGCTGGGAACTCTCTGTTAATTCCTGCTACTTCGGGCCGTCGAGAGGTAACAGTTCTTATCGATAAAGGCAGCTCCCATACTTTTCTCAATTCTCTTAGAGCTCAGGAGTTGAATGTCATTCTGAGAGTATAACACCAATTGAGGGTGAAAGTGGCCAGTGGACACACACTGTTGAGTGATTCGGTATGCAGGGGTTTCTGTTGGAAGATGCAAGGCGAAGAGTTTGCTTTTGATGTACGAACTCGTGATCTCCATGCTCACGATTTGGTGTTAGGATGGGATTGGTTACAGACGGTTAGCCCATTTCAGGTGGACTTGAAGAAGAGGCAACTGTCATTTGATTGGAAGGGTCGAAGCTTGACGTTGCAAGGGCTTCCAAAAGAGGGATAGTGTAAGATTATTTCGGGTAGATCATTACATCAACTCTTACGGAAGTCAGAGCCTCAAATATTGGGAGTTGTGTTTGCCATAGAAGTTAAGCCTAACCCTGCACCTACCCCCTGAGTTTCTCAAGCCTCTGCTCTCTGCTTATTCGGATGTTTTCTCTACTCCAACTTCCCTTCCCCCCAGCAGACCTTTCGATCACTCTATTCTCATGCTTCCCCATACTGAACCAATCAACATCCGGCCTTATCGTTTCCCTCATCATCAAAAAGTTGTGGCAGAGCAATTAGTGGCAGAAATGTTACAATATGAATTCATACAGGAGAGTCATAGTCCCTATGCTTCTCTCGTTCTGCTTATAGGAAAGAAAGATGGTACATGGTGGTTTTGCGTTGATTATAGAGAATTGAACTCAGCCACCATCAAGGACAAGTTCCCAATCCCTCACATCGAAGATTTGTTGGACGAATTACATGGAGCTATGATTTTTTCCAAGATGGATCTCAGGGCTGGCTATCATCAAATTCGAATGAAGCCTGAAGATAAATTCAAGACTGCTTTTCGCACTCACCAGGGTCATTATGAATTCCGTGACATGCCTTTTGGATTGACAAACGCTCCTACCACTTTCCAAGCCTTGATGAATCATGTGTTTGCTAAATACTTGAGGAAATTTATATTGGTATTTTTTGACGACATTCTCGTCTATAGCAAGACGGCTGAGGATCAATATCACCATCTCTCTGCTGCTTTGAGTCTGCTCAGAGAGCATCACTTGTTTGAAAAGGAATCCAAGTGCTCCTTTGGCCAGCCTACTGTCGAGTATTTGGGTCATATCATTGATAAGGATGGGTCTCTACTGACAAGAGTAAGGTGGCTGCCATGTTTGATTGGCCTCGACCAACGTCAGTGAAGGGCTTGCGAGGGTTTTTGGGGTTAACGGGGTACTATGGAGTCATCAGCCGCCCTCTTACTCTGTTACTTGGCAAGAGTATCAAGCATTATGGAGTCATCAGCCGCCCTCTTACTCTGTTACTTGGCAAGAATGGGTTTCATTGGACAGACGCTGCCGAAGAAGCTTTTGTTACGTTAAAACAGGCCATGGTTACCGCTCATGTTCTCGCACTTCCTGATTTTACATCACCTTTTACACTAGAGACTGATGCATGTGGTACATGTGTGGGAGCTGTTCTCTCCCAAGGAGGCCGACCCCTTGCCTATTTTAGCAAAGCCTTAGGTATTCAAAACCAGGGGCTGAGTACATATGAGAAGGAATATCTTGTTGTTCTGTTGGCTGTCGAGCATTGGAGACATTATCTCGAAGGGCTTCAATTTACTATCTTAACAGATCATGAAAGTTGCATACAGCTATACAAAAGAAGGGTTTGTTGAAGTTAATGGGTTTAGATTTTCAAATCAAGTATAGGCGTGGTAAATACAACGGTTCAGTCGATGCCTTGTCTCGGATTTTTGATGATGAAATGGACACGGGTGAATGCACTGCTTTGATGATAGTGCTGCCGGAATGGCTAATCGAGATTGACCATACTTATGCGAATGACCAAGATATTGCTGATCTGATTGCTGCAGCAGCTGTCAATTCTCAGGGCCCTTCGCTTTGGTCATTCGCCTCTGGGATTCTTCGTTATCGGGGCGCTATTGTGATGAGTTCTAATGGTTTCATACGAGGCAAGTTGATGCATCTTTTCCATTCTTCTCCAGTGGGAGGTCACTCAGGTACGCAAGTCACTTACCAACGTCTGAAGTCCTACTTTTATTGGCCTGGTATGAAGTCTACAGTTCGCAAGTGGGTTTCGGAATGTGAAGTTTGTCAGAGGTGTAAGACAGAAATGGTTGCTTCTCCGGGTTTATTAGAACCCCTCCCTATTCCCACCCAAGCTTGGAAGGATATTAGCCTCGATTTTGTTGAAGGGATGCCTCTCTTGCATGGGAAGCAAGTGTTGTTTGTTGTGGTTGACAGATTTACCAAAATGGCGCATTTCTTTGGGGTCAAACATCCTTACACAGCGGCTGATATTGCTCAGGTTTTCTTTGATGGCATTTTCAAGTATCATGGGATGCCTTCTACAATAGTGTGTGACAGGGATGCCACCTTTACAAGTCATTTCTTGACCGAATTCTTTCGTTTACAGCGAATAGACGGATGGCCAAACAGAACGCGCCAACAGGTGTCTCGAGGATTATCTACGTTGTATGACATTTCACAGGCCTGAGGATTGGTTTTCTTGGCTGACCCTTGCGGAATGGCGTTATAACACTCATTTCCACATCAGTATCCAAATGTCGCCTTTTGAAGCTTTATATGGTTTTCCTCCCTCCTTCTTTGGCTTGGTTCCAGGTGGTACTACTTCAGTTGGTGCTGTGGAAGAACGCTTATCTCAGCAGCAACATTTGGTGCAATTCCTCACTCATAGCATCACCACCGCTCATAATAGACAAAAACAGTATGTAAACCAACATCGTTTCGAGCGGATTTTGCAGCCAGCTGACTGGGTCTATCTCAAATTGCAGCCCTATTGCCAAGATTTTGTTGTGGGGCGGCAAGGGAATAAGCTGGGGGCTCGCTACTTTGGTCCCTACAGGTTATTGAGAAGGTGGGGAATGTAGCATACAAGTTGGCTCTTCCACAGGGGTCCAAGATCCACCCTGTCTTTCATGTCTCGCAATTGAAGCTGTGTCGTTCAGCAGTGCCTCCAGATGCTATCCAACTCCCTGACACGGATGCTCGAGGCTCGGTGAAACTCGCTCCATCTCAGGTTCTTGCTCGACGCTTTGTGTACAAAGGGAACATGGTTGTTACTCAGGTTTTAATTCAGTGGACTCATCAGAACCCAGATGAAGCTACTTGGGAAGACTTGGTTGCTTTTAAGCGGGATTTTCCTTCGTTTCCAGCGTGACTTTCACAGTTTGAGGGCAAGTTGTTGCTGAAGCGGGAGGGTTTTGTAAAAACCCAAGGCCAGCTGGATGCCAGCTGTAGCCAATATAAATAGGAGAGCTTATCTGTCATTTTCTATCTTTTGACAAATCTGTTATGAGAATAGTTACTTTACCAATTAGATAGCTTTCAATAAAAGAACTCCCCAGTTCCTTCTCCATTTTTTCTGTGCTTTCCATCTTCTTGTCCTATTTCGCTAGATTCCACTAGAACGATCCTTACACATTGTTTGCTCTAGCTAGTTAAGCTCCTGGAGGCGGACAATTGAAGAAACTAGCTAGCTTTGTTGTGGTGGTTGTAAAGCTCGCCTATCTATCTTGCCCCATCCGACTTCAGATCTCTAACATTTAGCATTAGAAGGTGACTTATATATTCCTTTCTTCATCATATGTATCTCTGTCTCACATAGTAATCGATTAAATCCAATCGTAGATCATAGGATGAATGAGCATTATAATGGTATAACAAACCCTCCCTTGTTCTATGTCTCGCAATGCTTTTGTGCTCTTGCTTAATTTGGGTGCTTAGTTTTCCTCCCTCCCTTAGTTGATTGATCATATGTGAAAATGGGGTCTGGCGGGTTGGAGATCATCTTGCTTGCTTTTGCTTTCCTAAACAACCATGTTGTTGATCTCAATTGTCGTCAATGCAATAGACTCAAACATCAACCCAACCCAACCATAAATGTTGTGCATAGGGGTGTGCAATGGTCTGGGATCGCACCGGAATAAATGAATTGATCTGATCCGGCGTTCTCTCTTAGTATGTCTTTCACTAATGGGTTTGGTCCAGACCGGCCGCCACTTGTGCCCATCAAGGTTGAGCTAATCTGTTTTACATTAGATAAGCGTAGGCTAATGATAAATTTAGATTCGTTTAATTAGATGGCCCATGGGAACTAGTTACTCTAAAGTCTACTCTGACGCTTAATTGGGAGTTTTGGGTTGAGTGGGTAGTAGATCCATATGTAAATTTGGGCCCAACGGTAAATGCATTATTTATTTGACATTTGTTTGCTTGTTGTGTTGACAAGCTTTGTTTGTTTGTCAAGCCAAGTAAACAGTTGGTTGGTTGCGTTGGTAGGGTGTTTTGACTTTTGTCAACATCTCACATCTCGGGATCATCTCTTTCACGCACCTCTCCAAATATGCTCTGCGCTCCTCTCTTCTCGTCTCATCTGCTTGCTTGACTTGGCTTGGCTTGGCTGCCCAATTAAATCAATGGATATAGCTCCATTGATTAAACTGTAATGACAATCAAATCTCCATTGATTAGACTGTAATGACAATCAAGTATTTGGTGGCCTCCTTGATGAGCTTCTCCTCTCAACGGAACGAAGGGACTTTTCCCAGTTACCCACCGTCTCTTGTTCACCCAGCCCGCTGTAACTGTAACTCTCAAGTCTTAAACAGATCCTGCTATTTCAGTGATTTCTGGCCCTCCAACATCTAGACTCTAGAGAAAGAGAATTCCAGGCTAGACTACTATGGTGACCACGGAGCAAGAAATGAACTCATCACACGGCGAGGTGGGGTTGACGCCATTGCGCCACCAGCTCCACAATCACAGCTCCACCGACAAGAGCCTGAGCCTTCCCTTCACCTCTCTGGGAAGGCAGTCCTCCATATACTCTCTCACCCTAGATGAATTCCAGCACACCCTCTACGACACCGGCAAGAGCTTCGGCTCCATGAATATGGACGAGTTCCTCAGCAGCATCTGGACCGCCGAGGAGAACCAGGCCGCCGGGCACACTCATCACTAACAACAGCACAAACAACCACCACAGCACTAACAACACGGGACGGCGGGGGATCTCCAAGCAGCCCAGCCTAGGCTCACTGACCCTCCCGCACCATCTCTGCCGGAAGACGGTCGACGAGGTCTGGTTCGAGATTCACAATAAAGGACAGCAGGCAGCGGCAGCCAAGAACTTGCGGAATGCCCCACGCCAGCCCACATTTGGGGAGATGACGCTCGAGGATTTCCTGGTCAAGGCAGGGGTGGTTCGGGAACAATAATGTGGCTCGCCTCAGCAGCAACAGTATGGGTTTCTTCCCAGTGGTGGAGCAGCAGTATGTGGTTACCCACAGCAGCCTCCGCCGCCACCGTTGCTTACTGTCGGGCCTTTGAGTCTAGTGTCCTCGGATGGAATGGTGGGGAATCCTTACAGTATGGATATCATGAGTGGCTTCAGGGGTCGCAAGAGGATAATTGATGGTGGGCCAGTGGAGAAGGTAGTTGAGCGGCGGCAGTGCCGGATGATCAAGAATCGCGAGTCTGCCGCCAGGTCCCGCGCTAGGAAACAAGTGAGTGCTTTCACTCATCGCTTCTCTTCTGTTGTTGTTAATTACAATTACAATGAGGATTCTAGTTTTGCTTATCATCCGGAATTTGGCAGGCTTACACGGTTGAGCTAGAGGCAGAACTTAACCAGTTGAAGGATGAGAACAAGCAACTCAAGCAAGCACTGGTAAACATCTCGTCACCGTGTTCCATTTTGCGGTTGGTGATTTTATTTGATGGTTTTGTCTCTCTTGCTTAACCAGGTTGAGCTGGAAAGGAAAAGAAAACAACAGGTAACATTTCTTACAGACTTTGTTCAACGAATCGCCCTTCTTATGATTTGATTGTGCCCTGTGTATGTGAATCCGGTTGTTTGATCATGGTGCAGCAGTATGTTGAGGAATTGAGGACCAAGGGACAGTCAAAGGCGCACAAGGCCAGGGAGAGGCAGAGGCTCATGACAAGTGTTTGACCCCGATTAGTATCGGGGGATTAATGTGGAACCTTGATCCGGACTCCGTTATCTGATTTCCTCGAGAGTGGAAGAATCCTGAGGAGAGTCGGGGGCGGCCCCCGGGATCTACACTCCGACGTTCAAGTCAGTAAGGATATATGATAGAGTGTAGAGAATGTAGAGAGAGATAAGGTTTAGAGAGAGAACCATAAGTGGT